AGAACTCAATGTAGAGTGTTATAATGGACTCTAACAACTATTGCATTCAACCAATTCTATCTCTAAAATGAATTTACGAGTTCAAATCAACCCCAGCGCCCCACYACGTCTCACAGCACATCCCTTCCATGTATTAGAACATCTCCAAATAAGTTCATCAATTCTGATACTATTATGRAGAGATATTTCCAATACACAGCAGTATGTATTGTGGGACGTTGTGGGGCGCCATTTTATGGGGGTTGATTTGAAATCTGACTTACACAGTGACTCAGAGCACATCACAACTACAAGATGTTGACAATGCACGCTGAAATGTGCATGTGCGGCAGGAATGAATTACAAGAGAGATGTCCCGGATGTACGGCTACAATGGTTGTTGAGACTGGTTGTAAGGACGCTGTGATTGAGCTGCCTTAAAAAATGAATAAAAGATGCTTTAGCGTAAAGTCTTAAGTCTTATCTCGACTGTGGATTTAGCATCAATTTACGATCAGAATTCATTCCACCCTTAGGGTTTAAGTTTTTTAATCCTATCAAACCATCCAGATGGGGGCCACCTCATAAACCCTGAACAGGAGGAAATTGGACGTATCAAAGTTGGCTTCAAATTTGTTTACAACGCTATTAATCGCTCAAAGTTGCCAAATTCTCTAGAGAGAGGACATGTGATTATGAGCGCGCGCTCTCATTGAATAAACCATGAGCGCCCAACGTGAGTGAATCAGGCCAGTGGCCAGTCAGAGACTTAGAGCTGCTGGTTGGGGTCAATACAATGGCAGGGCCTATTTACTTGTCGTTTTCCGGCGGGGATGCCGTCATCGCTTCGGTGTTGTGTTGCTGATGATGGAGTTTCGGTGGCACTGCCACTCGGCTCGGCCCACTCCCTTCCTCCCCGAGATAAGACTCGTCTCATGAGACATCTGGATCTGGTGTCCAACTGGCCCGGTTCATTCTTGATACGCCCAGTCGCCCACTCTGACTCTGCTTTAATCCAGTAGCCGACAATTAGTGGCATTTCCCGGAGACTGTCAGTCACTGTCCCACTCCCATCACCTGTACCCAAACAACATGAGTCAGATGACAATTGCAGTCAACAATTCAATTACGCCACGAGATCTTCTCAGATTCTTCAGTAGGGCCCGTTGGGGTCGCGGTGTCGGTCTTCACATGTCTTAGCCTCTTAGAGATGTCAACGGGGTCGGATTAAGTGATAAACCCGCACTGACCCTTAATCGGATATCGGGTCGGGTTATGATTGAGCTGGACCCGTGCCATTTCTACCCGTTGATATTGCAGCGTTTTGAAAGTTGAAACCAAGGTTTAAGACATGGGAACATCTATCTCTATTATGCTGAAAGACATGATATCCGAAGGGATTTGATTAAGAGTTGGGTATCTCCAACCAACAAGAATCCCTTCTTAGTACGTTCCAACATGATTTGTATGGTGAGTTCCAGTCTTATGATGGATCCCACACATGATGTGTGGATATTTTGGAAGGGATTTTTGTTGGCATGAGATGTGTTTTTTTTTTGCAATTGCAACCCTTGTAAATTTTGGTCAAAACTCACCAGATATTTTTTTTTCTTCATAAGCYTCCATCGTATTTTTGGGGTTATATTCATAGTAGATTAGGAGAGGGCTGTAATTTCAGATTTCTAAGGGAAGTGTAATCTATTTATCCTTTATTTTTTATTTTATAGAATTACATAATAGGGGTAGCCCATCCCCATCCACCGGTAACAATGGAATTTGTTTCTARGTCTCTGTTACACCATCCTACTAAATAAACCATTATCAATTGTTCAAAGCCCACTTTTATTACTACTTTTCATAATGTTTGGCATCGGAGCATTTTATAAGCGGTCTGTTTTCTAAACGGGCTTCAATTCACAAGTGTTTCAATTTATTTATTTTTTTTAAACCCAAAAAGATGAGATATAGGCTGATTGGGTGTTTAAAGTAATTTAACTTAATGTTATAATATATTTWTAAGTGTGTAACATCTTAGAAAAATAGTAAGCTTTTTTAAATTTCAATGTGCCATATCACTAAGGCAATTCAAGAACTGTCAATTTGACATTTTCTTGCCGATTACAAAAACAAAACACTTAGCCAAACATCCACTTTATGTGTTATGAGGCTGATTGATTTGAATATAAATTTTTTTCAATATCATGTCTTTCTAGCATCATAATCCCTTAAAATATTGATACACCTCAATACATTTGAGTGTATATATGGAGTGCTTCGATCACCTACTACGCTTCCTATTTATTTTTGTTTCAATTTTGCATATACTCTTAAATATAACAAAAATTAGAAATACATAATGATTTTAATATATCGGGAAACTATTAACAGAATACGATATTGCCCGACATGCTCCCATGTATCGCGATTCTTCTTTTTGAAACTTGATTGAAACATTTATCTGTTACAACTTACAACGTACAAGTGCACTATGTATAGGACGGGTCAGGATAATACGGAGGTTTTTAAAACTGGACTCGACAGGGAACCGTTTTTGGGTCAAGTTCTCTGATTGAATGGTCTGACCATCCGATCCAAATGAATGGTCACGTTGCCATTCCTACAAAAAATCGATATTTTCACTCACAGGAACTGTCCTCGTGAATAAAACACACGTAGCAGGTCACGTGGCCGCGCACSGCAATTGCGATTCTGTGGCCCAGCCCAGACTGCCCACTGGCCCAGAACCAAGTTTTTCAAAGTAAACAACGTCCGGTGTGACGGTTTTCCTGCGTCGTCATTTGGCGTCACCGACTAAAGGCTCTAAGCTCTTCCTCTCTCTCTCTGAGTATCACCGTATATATATCTTACAAGAAACCTTGTCAGTCCCATGTGCACATCCTCTCTATCAAACGATCAAAGTTCCAATCGTAGTTGCAGCAGAAGAAAG